GGTGAGATCAGGCAGAGGGACGCACGGGGGTGGGTTCTGCCCCAAAGCCTCCCACCCCATGGCCTGAGCAGCCCGCTCCCACGCTCCTCTGGTTAGAAAATAATCTGCTTGTCTCCGTCTCTGCTGGCGTGTCTGGTGCTTTGTGCCTGTGCCGTCGTTTCTAAACACCAGCTGAAAACGGTGCTTTGGGTTTGTAGGTGAAAGCTGGTTCCGTGAAGCAGGAGTTTGAGAAGCAGGATGAACTGAAGCGATCTGCCATGAGAGCGGTCGCTGCTCTCCTGACCATCCCTGAGGTGGAGAAAAGTCCAGTGATGGCCGAGTTCTCAGCTCAGATCAGGTCCAATCCTGAAATGGCGTCGCTTTTTGAGAGCATTCAGAAAGATTCGGCTTCCCTGCCCACCTCAGAGTCAATGGACATGAGCTAAGAGCCGCTCGTTTATCCCACCGCCTTCCTGCCCTCCCAAAGCACTAACGAACGGGGACGCCACAGCCGCGCCGAGGGAGAACCGAGCCGGACTTTGCCGCCGCAGCCGCTAACAAGTCACCGGCAGCAGAAGCGGCTGGGTGTAGCTTCACAGCGGCTGGTTGCAGCTGCACTTGCCTCGGGTTCGAGATGTGCGAGAGAAGGGAACCGTGGCCTTATGCAGGGGAGGGGGGGAAGATGAGTATTCTGATTTTTCAGCAAATTTTCAAGGGGCATAGAAATCATTTGGAATTGAGTGTGGTTCCCTGAAAAATGGAAACTACTTCCTGAGGTATTTCCTTACTGCAGTACAAAGAAAAATAGTTTAAAAAAAAAATTTTTTTAACCACTGCACATGCACTTTCTTCCCCAAATTGCCTGAAGAATGTATTTATATTGTTTCACTAAATAACATGGCTAAAAACTGGGTCACATCCCTAGTGCTGAGCATCACGCCCACGGGAGCTGTTGGAACAGTTCTGTGTTTCTGCTGTGTTTGGGCAACACGCAGCTGGCTTGCTTGACTTCCATTTTTCGGGTTTTCACTGCAAAATACCTCAACCAGCAGTCTTCCCAAAGAGACGACACTTGATTGCATTAGCTAACCCTCACGCCAAGCTTTTCTTTGTGGTTAACACCGGCTTCTCTTCCCCCCGAGCGTGACCAGCCGGGACAGCAGCCACTGAACAGCCACAGGAACTGGGGCTCTCGGTGTTCAGTGTCAGAGGTAAGAGGTGGAGGTCCCAAGGCAGAGGTGCGAGCACACGAGCTGCCCACAGTAACCCTTTGGGCATTTGAAAACTTTATAGTGCCTGTGAGGTTCAACTGCTGCTTTGCACAGGGGGAAAAAAGCCTTGAGAGACAGAGATGTAACAGCAACTAGAGAACGAGGCCAGCACACCACACTTCTTGTAGCCATGGAGCTGTAATAACCTTTCACATTTTTTGACAGAGTGGTTGATGTGAAAAATATTTATATAGTGCTGTGTGAAAGAACATCCATTCTGTTTGAGTGGTATGGAAAATAAAAACATTCTTGCAAAGCTGCGTGCATCCTGAATTCATGAGTTATCACAGGGACACTGGCAGTCACTACCGTGAGCAGGGGTGCTGCCACGAGCCCACCCTCAGGCCACCAGCTGCCACCGTGGTCATGCCACAGTCTGCTGAGCCCCACCGGCACGCAGGCACCCAACCAGCGTCTTTCCCTTTGGCCAGCCAGAACATCCACCAGTTTGTTTTTACACTTTATTAAATACACCCCGGATGCAGAACCCGGTTTATTCGTTCTCCTCGCTGCGCAGTCTGGCGTTGGGGTTGGTGATCTTGATGGCGAGCTGAGCAGCTCTCTCCACGATTATCTTCCGGTTCTTCGAAGAGACGTTGTGAGCGATCTCTGCACAGTACGACCTGTCGGAAACAGACCCTGTGTCAGGCTCAGCTCCAGCAGCCGCGAAGGCAACGCGCCCCAGAGCCGTCCCACCAGCAGCGCCTGGCTGGAGCAGAGCAGAGCCACACGCCTCCCACCCCACTGCCACACCCGGCCTGAGACAGGAGCTCAACCCTTCGCTCTTTTCTTACTGACTCTTCATTCCCAAGAGGTAGGTTTCAGTGGTGTTAATTATTGCTCTTATGACTTTGTTGGGAAACAAAGTGCTACAGGCAGCTTTAGGCCTGCGTGTGAGCAGACAGGAAGCCCCAGTTCTGATCTATCGCTATTTTATCACAGTGACGCAGGCACAGCGCTGAGTTCCACCACTAGTGTTGGATTTACCAAAGACACGCGTTTGCCAGCCCCAAGACACCCTCTGTGCCCTCCTGCCAGCACCACTATGGAAACCAAGACAACCTTCGTGCTCTTAAAAGCAACAACTTCCCTTGTCTCCCACCCTCGTCTCCCCCGGGCAGTGCTGCCTTCTCGTTGTCCGACCCAGTGCTGCTCAGAGACAGGCAGCGCAGGAAACCCCCAGACTCACTTGTTGCTCATCATGAGCACCTCCAGCTCCTTGACGTTGTGGACCAGGAACTTCCTGAACCCTGTGGGCAGCATGTGCTTCGTCTTCTTGTTG